ATAGGATTAAGTACAATAATGTTCTTGAATAATATCTTACTCTTCGTTTTCAGGTTCACTTGTTGAAGAACTTATTCTATTTCTTCTTATATTGACATACTCAATAGATTTTTCTGAAGTTTTCTCGTTTTTGTCATCAATGTCATCAGCGTCTTCTTCGTCTTCATCTTCTGTTGATTTGATCGTAGTTGATCTAGAAAATCGCTGTACTGTGAAACACTGAATATTTACGATTATAATTCTTTTACCTATTTCGAATAATGGATGTATATGATAGCTTTCCTCTGGTAGTTTCTGATTTGGCTGATTTATTTTCGTCATTGCTTCTAAGTCCTTCGTTCTGAGGTCCTCTGCTATTTCTGAGAGAAGTGTAACTGGAAATAAAAATTGTTAACAGTTATCATATTCAGAACATATGTTCCGATTATTCCCCCAAAAAAATCAACTTACGCCGTTTTCCTGGAAGCTGGTGTTTTCTTCAAAGTTTTACTGAGGACCCTCTCAAGAGATTTACTAAGAGGTGTTTGAGTTGTGAACTGATCTGTTTGTGATGATCCTTTAGAAATTCTGAGTTGTTTCTCCAGTTCTTCAATACCACCTGAAAAACAGTATTGGTCACTCGTAAGGGGTTCAGTTCTGAATCCCTGACAGTCTTTGAATATTGATTTGGTATTCCTAGCTATTTTTAAGGCTTTCAACCTTCCACAATCTGATAAATAAACAAAATATTAATTTTCATCATCCACACTCACCTGCTTTTTTTATCAAATCAATCAACTCTTTGATAACCCTAGGATCCTCTTCTTTCGACTTCTTTGTATCCTCCTCCTCATCCTCGTCATCATCTTCATATTCATAGTCATCCTATAAAATTCAAAATATGTGAAAATTTCCATTGTTAATGTGAAGGCGGATCCAAGGCTATGATCGGCCCAGAATCCTTTTGCGGTGTAGCGAAAGGAGAAACCCAATGCAGGTTCTGTCAAGAAGAGGAAGATACCGCACTGCATGTGCTTTGTGAATGTGAAGCGATAGCAAGTCTGAGACACGCAAGATGCGGAGAAGAAAAACCAGAGGCTGCCATCTATATGAAGGGGTCACTGTCAAGGCTGTGGAGTCTCATCAAAGAGATCAAGCTAAACAATAAGCTCTAACAACTAAGGAGCATCACAATAGATCTGAAAAGGTCGCAGTGAATCAGGCCATGGGCCAGCTTCCCGACAATCTAATCTAACCAGCTGCTTGAGCAGCTGCCCTAACTGGAAATGCTCCAATTCCTCCTCTCTCATGGTCGCGGACCATGCAGAGAAGTGGACCTGAACTCTTGACGACTTTACAGTATTATCATAATTATTACAATTATCATTTCATGTAGGTTGCGTCAGTCGGGTACTGTTATCGAAGCATCGATACATTCACGAGGCACGTCAGCATCATAAACTGAACTACACACCTCACACCATGAGATAAGTGATCATTGGGTTCAAGAATCAGAGCCTTCTGCTGTTGTCCGGCAAAGAAATAAATAGATATTACTACACAACGAATAACAAACATGTCCTTGTATCTATTTGAAAACGTAAGATTGAAATCTGAAAAATTAGATAAAGTACACCTTGAATCAATAAATTTTTTGAGTTGTATCTACCAAGAAACCGGCAATCTGCCTCACCTGGTCATAACAAAAGATTAAGAGGTAGATTAAGTATTAAGCTAATGGTTGAGAATTGGATTGTTGAAGTTTTTGAATATTAGATTCCAATTTTTCTGGATGGCACCAACACATGTCTTTCGGCTCTGGATATTTTCTATTTTAGATTAACATTGCATGAAAAAGAGGTCATACTTCGACATGTTATGATTTGTAACAATATAGGCAGCCTCAGTGAAAAATATTTTCAGTTGAGGAAATTGATGTGGATAGCGGTTTGGAAATGGTGGGTTGCTAATATCATTTAACGAAAACTTCAATCCATCTTGAGAATCCTCATGCGATTCATCAAAAGTGTATAGGCTTTCATCTAGGGATCTTGTATCGACAAACCTCCCAGGTCTTTGGAAAGTATGATTGTGTTCCTAGCAACCCTAGCAACCCTAGAGTTGAATGATTCCAGAGAAACCATCAACAAATTGAGGATAAGCTTTTGGCAAACAATTTTGATATGGGTAGTATGTGACTTAAAAACCATGCCTTCGACAGAACGTAACATTGTATGAAATGAACATGTTGAAATAAAGTTATTGTTCGACATTCGTTCGACAAAACTTCGGTCTGTATCTTATTCGCGATTTGGTGCCAATTTGATCGTACTATTTCGTGAACATTATCAGCAAATAAAACACCAAGTATTTTAAGAGATTGACTTAACAACAATGGAATTTGCTTTTGAAAATCTATGTCTTGACATAAGACGGCACAGCCCGAGTCCCCGACTGACGCGGTTAGATGCGGTTTCAATGAAATTTCAGAAACATTTTCGAATTGAAAATATCTTGTTATATCAAGGTTGAAGACATTGAGATTTCTGAATAATAATATGAATTATTGGTATTTGGTGGAGTTTGAAAGTTTGAATGTTGCTGATAGGTACCAACAGAATTGTTAAATTTTTTATTACTTGGTACGTCCAGTGTAGTACGCTATACTTTTATTTCGGCTACGTTAATGATTTCAAAATTGTTTTTTGCCCCTTATCTTCGAAACATAGCGCCATATCAAAAATCATCAAGGAACAAAATGTCCTTAGAAAAGTCCAAGAAATAGTCCCTTAATTTTTTGTCGCATGTTTAATAAACACCCTGTAAATCTATCATCTATGAATGTCACTGTCACTTTGTTGAAATGATCAAAATGAATTGTTATGATGAAAAAGTAAAATCAGATATCTTCAAAGCTTCCACTACCTACCAGAATGATTATAAAAAATACTGCGGTATTACGCGAGAGTTTCCTACCTACGAGAGGCAGAGAGAAGAGGTCAGAACTCCTCCTCCAAAACCCAAGAGAGGGGAAGATCACGAGACTTTTGCACAATGGAGGGAAGGAATACATATTCCGTTTGATCTTCTGTTGAATCCAAAACCCATCATTCAAACAGATCCTCGGAAACCGTTTAAAAAATTAGAGCCAATTGCAAGACAAGGAACAGATGAAGCCATAAAGACTAGACCAAGGGTATACATGACCCCGGCAGGTCAGTGACTCAATTAGATTTTGTCCCAAAATATAAATATTGAGTTTTTTGCGAATGTCTCGATCATTATTTTCTCTAATAAATGACAGGTATTTTCAAATGTAATAAGATGTAATCTATTCAAATAATTCATTGACACAAGTGATAGAAATTGTTATAACTTTTGGGGACTGACTTTCACAATACAACTGATTTGATGGAAGTAGATTTTTAATATATTTATTTCGATGTGGTGATGAAAAAGCAAAAATACAGGGTGGGCCATCGAAAACTTGACGTGGAGGTTTTAGGTACTCAACCATTTATAGCGACGTCACTTCAACCCCGGAGGAAAGGGGTGAACAACCCTTGGAATTTTAATGGGGAATAGGGGACGAGTTGCACATAGTTTGAAAGATCTTGGAATTCTCTAAACAATGGTGTACATTTTTTTAAATTTGGACGTATATAAAAGAGTTCTTTCCGATAATGAACTTTTTCAATATTGTTAATAGCAACAAATTGTTGTTGTACGTCACTGCTCAGTAGGAATGTATTTGGAACTCTTTCATTTGTTTTTCAATTTTTTAGTTCTTCTCTGATAAGAGGACTATTACAATTGAGAAATGGTTGAAAATGCTGTTTCTATTTCTCATTTTCATATTAAAAGTGATATCTACATTATTACTAGTAGTGAGTGCCGTAAAGTGTTGCTAAAGAAATAATGGTTTAGGCACACAATTGCAGAGATGGTTGAGTTGATTGAAATAGACGTTGTGCTGCGAGAGCCGCTGAACTGTTCAATCAACAACATGGAAAGAATGTGCCCCGACAGTATGTTTTCGATTTAATTGCAAAATTTCGCGCAACTGGATCTGTAGCAAATAAAAACAGCAAAACCAAACACCAGTAACAAATCACAAAAGTGGCAATTCTAGGCCATGTTGAGCTTGACCATACTTTGAGCACAAGAAAGTTAGCATTTTTTCCGGGGTGTCACGAAATGGCATTCGGCATATTTTACAAACCCACAAAATGCATCCTTAGGTTTCAATCGACGCTTGCAATTTTGCGAGATGGTTACTGAACGAGCGGTGGAAAATCCTCATTTTGTTTTGCTTCAGTGATGAATGTTCTTTTTTTCTAAATGGCACAGTTAATCGCCATAATTGTCGCTATTGGGCTGATTCAAATCCTCACATATTTCATGAAATGCATACTCAACGTGCACAAAAATTAAATGTATGGGCTGGAATTTTTGGTGACCGTATTGTTGGCCCATTGTTTTTAGAAGGCAATTCAACCGGACAAATGTGTCTGGAGCTTCTGGAAGATACTATTAATTCCCTTCTCACTGATATTATCGAAAAGGACCATAATTATCGGGAGAAACTGTTAATATTTCAACAAGATGGGGTTTCTGCGCACTATTCGGCAGTATTTAGATCAGACTTTTCCGGATCACTGGATTGGGGGGCGGGGCACTATCGAATGGCCACCACGATCAACAGACCTTTCGCCGTAAGATTTTTTCTGTGGGGTCATTCAAAAAGCAGAATTTACTGTACTCCTCCTGCATCACTCGAAGATTTACGGCAACGAATCACAAATGAATGTTGCCAAATCACTTCAGAAATGCTACACAATGTTCGAGAACATTTCCAGCATAATCTCTATTATTGCAGGAAAGCTGAAGGTGCCCATTTTGAGCATATGCTAACATGAGAATAAACGAAGTAACTTCACCTCTAAATTTAATATGGTTCGTCCAAATTAAAAAAAATGTACACCGTTGTTTAGAGAATTACAAGTCTTCCAAACGATGTGCAACTCGCCCCCAGTTCCCTATTAAAATTCCAAGGGTTGTTCACCCCTCTGCTCCGGGGTTGAAGTGACGACGCTGAAGTGAGAAACACTGTCCCCCTCCCAATAAAAATTGATCTGTCTGAGCGTTTTTTAGGATTTGCAAAAGGAATTTTTAGTCCAACAATTCCCTATTTGAAGGATCATCAATTTTTTAATACTGGATACCTTTTTTATACCAATTCGATCTATCGACTTCTTCAAACATCAATGATCGAATTTGGATAACGTTTTGATTTTCTAACCCATTGAAAATGTTTTAGTCAGTATGGATGATGTGCCAGAAGCAGAAATGAGAAATTTATTATGTCAACACGTTTACACTAGTGAATGGAGAAGAGCAGAAAAGGAAGCGACGGAAAATTTCAAAAAAATAATTCCTCAGATTGGAAAAATTGAAACCAAAGACACGGTAACTCTGCAAACCGATCTCTACAAACCCATCAATGAGAAATTCAGACGATTAGGTAAGTTTTAAAGTCAAGTTGATAGTTTGGTAAATATCGGTAATATTTCTAGTCACTAATTAATAATATACCTTCCGTGCTTGAAATTGCACATTTAAATATAAAATCGCGTCAATTCAGCTTGCAAAAGATTCTGATTGTGAGGAATTTTCATTATTATGACCCTTAAGAGTTATAAAGACCTTTCAAATTTCTGTTTTATACATTTTTGAACGATTTGATCTCCACAAACTTTATTTGAAAAATATATAACAACATGTATCGTTAAGACATTAGCTTTTTCAAGTGATTTGTACATCAAATTATCTTTACATTACTATCCTTTATATACTACACGTAACCATAATTGAGACTACCTCTAAGAAATTACCTGAACCTCGATATAACGTACCTGTTCAATTATGATTACCTTAAGCATATTGCTCACATCTACATCAATAATAATTCTTTCTCGGTTTTTAAGTTTAAGCAGCTTATAATAGCAGCTTATAATAGCAGCTTATTATAAGCAGCTTATTCACAGATTAGTCAATATTCCTCTTTCGATAGGTAATTTCGATAAAGAACTTAATATAGTCAAGCAAATT